TTGGCTCTTGCGTTTGGAATTCGCGCGCCTGCGAAAGATTACATTAAGCGTAAATCTGACATGTTTGTCGACTTTCTTCCGGAACTCTGTCCCGGATCCTGCAAAAACGATAGCCGCTGTGCTTTTCGGCCAAGAACAAATCCACTTTAACCCCGGACAACTGTGCCGAGCCCTACTCATGCATACGAACTTCAGTCAATGCACTCTACGGCAAAGGTTCTCACTGTACTATTTTAGCGTATTTCCTCTTACAAGGGAAGGTTACTTGGTGACCGTGGACTTTTAAAATGAGATGTATATCAATAAAAGAATCTTGAGCGCTAATTTCAAATCTGCTTTCGATAACTGCTGTGCACACTACCGAAAAAGTTAGTGCCAGGTACCCTCCAAAGTGTCTGGGCTGCTTTTACTCCGCAAAAGTGAAAGGTGTTCAAAAAGCACCCTCGTCGGCCGCGGGGGGGGGGAAAGAGAAGGGAGGGGGATTCTGACGACACGCGCAATTGCACACTTATATATACACCAGTGCGTCACCTCCGCTTCGCGGAGGTTCGCACTGGCTCCCTATCCGTATGCCTTTCTCATGTTCGCATGAGAATGGCTTTGAAACTCACCACGCGATGCTGAGCATCACAAATGAATCGTAAACAACTGTTCATTCATGAAGTATCTCCATGTAAGATCGGTAATTTCGACAAAAAAAACTTTGTTGCAAGGAAACAAATGCGAATTTGAACGGATTACTGAATTTATTTTAATTCCATAATCGTCATAAGGATAATAGTCACCTTGGGCTACATTTCAGTGCAAGAATCTTTTCAGTTTTTTCAAATAAAACCTTGCCAAATCGACTATCTACGCGATCATCACTTTTTGGCCCTGTTTTCGCAAAAAAGCACACTTTTTGAGCACTTTTTGGGCTAGAATTCATGGCGCGCAGAGTTACTTGTCAGGCAAATCATAACTTTGCAAAAAGTCGAATTAGAGGCCCAGTTTTGCGTGCCAAAGGGCGCGCGGACCCGTTTGACGCGCAAATTTTGAGGGACCCGCTTATCGAACCGGTTCGTCCTTGTGCATGGTGAGCCTACACGCTGGCACGGTATGTTATGCAAAATTGCAGCCCGATAGCTTAGTTGCAGCTTGCTCTATGAATTTCGTGACAGACAGATTTACAGACAGACACACACACAAAAAAACAGACGGGTTTAGCGCGTTATTATCTTATATATAAAGCTGAATGTCTGTTTGTATGTATGTATGTCTGTATGTATGTATGTGTGTACGTATGTTCCGAATAGAAAATTCCATTTCTGAACCGATCCGGACCAAACTTGGCACACATACACTACGGGCCCCGGCGGGTGTCATAGGCTACTTTTCGTCATCGATCGATATCGATTTTATCGATTTTTATCGATTTTTTTGCTGAGTTCACCTACGGGGCTGGGAGTTGGCACAGGGGGGTAATCGAGCATGGGGATTCCGAATACAATATTGGTTTTCAGGATTATCGATTACTTTTATTGATTTTATCGATTTTTTGCAAAGTTTGAGCTACGGGGCTGGGAGTTCGCACAGGGGGGTAATCGAGCATGGGGATTCCGAATACAATATTGGTTTTCGGGATTATCGATTACTTTTATCGATTTTATCGATTTTTTGCAAAGTTTGAGCTAGGGGGCTGGGAGTTGGCACAGGGGGGGTAATCGAGCATGCTGATCATCCCCAAGGGGGGTGATCAGCATGCTCGATTACACCCCTGTGCCAAATTCCAGCCCCCTAGCTTAAACTTTGCAAAAAATCGATAAAATCGATAAAAGTAATGGACGATCTTGAAAACTAATATTGTATTCGTAATCTGCATGCTCGATTACCCCCTGTGCAAACTCCCAGCCCCGCAGGTCAAACTTTACAAAAAAAATCGATAAAATCGATAAAAGTAATGGACGATCCTGAAAACTAATATTGTGTTCGTAATCAGCATGCTCGATTACCCCCCTGTGCAAAATCCCAGCCTCGCATGTCAAAATTTACAAAAAATCGAGAAAATCAACAAAAGTAACCGATAATTCTGAAAACTAATATTGTATTCGGAATTCCCATGCTCACTTCCCCCCTGTGCCAACTCCTAGCCCTGTAGGTGAACTCTGCGAAAAAATCGATAAAAATCGGTAAAATCGACATCGATCGATAACGAAAAGTGGACTGTGACACCCGCCGGAGCCCGAAGTGTATGTGTGCCAAGTTTGGTCCGGATACGGCGGAGCCGGGTAAGCCAGCTAGTAGTAGGATAAGCAAACAGTGGCTACTGAGGGGGGAAGGCGGGGGTGGGGGAGGGGGCGCCTATCCCCCCCCCCCGAGACTGGGTAGCGAAATTTTTGAAAGTTACTTAAACATGTTATAAAAATGTGCAGAGGACTTGTTTCTACTTGTAAATAATTGAAATAATCCTTAAAAATTTTTAAAAATTAAAATTAGCCTTGTAAAAAAAATTTTGGGGGCGTGGCTGCCGCCACGCCCCCTTTTTCTGAAATTTTGGGGTCAGGGGCCCGAAAAAATTTTGGGAAGCATCCCAGAAAATTTTTCGGAGTGCGTGGCTAACGTCACGCACCTTCATCGGAAAAAATTTTTGTCGTCCCCCCCCCCCCCCGAACGGAAATCCTGGGTACGCCACTGAAGAAAACCTATCCTTAGGACGTTCATTATACGGTGAAATAGCAGAAATACAATTTTGACAAAAAACTTCATGGACGATGTTCACTGGCACATACTCATGGTCGGCATTGATGATCTTATAGGACTCATGGATGTGGATGATATCTGAAGAGGTACAATTCCTTCCAATGACAATGGAATTACTGCTGGAAATAAAATGCGTGTTAGTATTTGAATAAAATGCCGTGTTAGTATTTGACGCAGGCAATAAAAGAACATGTTGTCAAACAACATGTTGTCACAGTTGCCCAGTTCAAGCAAAGAATGTGCCACAGAAACTTTACTTATATTACAGGAGATTTAGGAAAGATCTATTTGTTAGTTAAGATGACGTCAGCAAGAATATTACAGGCGATGAGATTTGAGCAGTTTTCAAGGTGTTCAACACCCTCCCACCTGCAGTACAAACTCGCATATTTCTGCGGTGGGGCATTTCATTGTTTACTTTCTCTTACATCTCATAGAGGAAGGTTCATTCAGTATTATCTACACCCTCGCAAAGAGATTCGCGCAACCGGCTGACTCCAAATTTACGTATGTTTTCCACGTCTCCACCTTGATATAAGTCTCCTTCATTACAGCCAATCCCTTTGTTAGAGTACAGATAATACTGAGTAAGCCTTCTTTTATACAATGCCCAAAAAAAGTAGGTCATGAAATGCTTCCATCACGGACTCAGACAATCGGTGCCGTAGCTCCGGAGGGCCAGATTGACCACTGAGAGCGGGGCGAGGGGGCGGTCCCTTCTTGTAGGTCACGGTGACGTCACAAGCAGGCGAATGGGACCCCTCTCCGGGACGCGCAAATCTCTGCTCCGGAGGAACGCCAGATTTGGGAAAGCCCCGGAGCAGAGAGCGCTCCGGAGGGCCAGATTGACCATTGAGAGCGGGGCGAGGGGGCGGTCCCTTCTTGTAGGTCACGGTGACGTCACAAGCAGGCGAATGGGACCCCTCTCCGGGACGCGCAAATCTCTGCTCCGGAGGAACGCCAGATTTGGGAGAGCCCCGGAGCAGAGAGCGCTCCGGAGGGCCAGATTTGGGACGCCTCCGGAGCACAAATGGGAGGTCTGAGCACAAATGGGAAGTCTCCGGGACACAGAATGGGAGGGCTCCGGAGCACAGATTTGTGCTTCGGAGGTACGCCAGATTTGGGACATCTCCGGAGCACAATAGGTACGCAGCCAATTTGCTGTGATACGCAGCTTACAAGGGAAGTCACTTAACTTAGGTCGGGCTTTTGAAATGAGACACATATGGTTGGAATCAGCTTGAAACGCTGTTTTCAAATCTGCTTTCCTTAGCTGCGAAGCATTCCTCTGAAGCAAGTTATGAGCTTCTGAGCAAATTTTGCGGGTTGACCGATTTGGGCATGCTACGGTATCATCATCTAGGTAGTGGTTCAAATGCATATTATACCCTATCAAAGCCAAATGACTCAATTTGATGTTATTCTGATTTTCCACCACTTTTTGGGCAGATTTTCTTCTAAAGACCTTCTTTCCATATTCAGTTGTATGTCAATGACACATACTAAAAAAGCTCATAACTCGCTTCAGAGAAACGCTTTGCAGCTAGGAATAGCATATTTGGAATCAGCGTTCCGAGCTGATTCTAGATATATGTGTCTCATTTCAAAAGCCCGACCTAAGTTAAGTGACTTTTCTTGTTAGCATTTTCGAAAATAAGCTGCCTTCGCTCTCGACTTACCTTTTTTTGTTCTTTCGCGCTCGCTTTTCTTTTTTTTTGGTTTTTCGTGTTTTCGTCGGCGCGTAGGCGTTTATGTTGTTTTAACGCTAGCTTTTCTTTTTTTTTTGGTTTTTCGTGTTTTCGTCGGCGCGTAGGCGTTTATGTTGTTTTAACGCTCGCTTTTCTTTTTTTTTGGTTTTTCGTGTTTTCGTCGGCGCGTAGGCGTTTATGTTGTTTGAAGTTATTCGTTTTCAGGTTTATCTCGGATTTTCGTGCGGATGCACTCAATTTCTTTTGGTGTTCGGCTCTCGTTTTCGACTTGCTGTCGTTTTTCCGCGTTCTTTTCCGTTCTTTTTCTTTTTCGTGTTGCCCTTCGGCGCTTTTGGCGTTTATTTGTTCGGTTCCTTCTTTTCAGGTTTCAGGTTTTAGGTTTTCGTGCGGATGCACTTAGTCACTTTTATGTTTGGCTCTTTTTGACTTGCTGAGACATCGTTGACTATTGATGGAGTGTTTTTGTGATAGATCCGGATGTTCGAAACAAAAAGTTTATAAACAATTCGTGTTGAGTCACTATTAGTATGACCGATATCTAAAGCTAGTGCTATGCAACGTGCTGGTCGCGCTGGTCGTGATAAGCCTGGTTAGCTTTTCGGTCCTAATCGTTCTCACATTGGGAAATTTTGCATTTTAGGAAAGTGTTTGCGGAGATCCCTGTTTCTCTACATGCTCACGAGCTTTCTGATATACCCATGCTTCCAGAATCTCGTGTACGAAAAAGTCTGCCTTGCATGACTGGTATGACCAGGTATTGTAATGCTTGCTCAGGTTATCCTAAACTTTCGTTTCTAGGACTTGTCTTTTTGTTCGAATGTATCAGCCTATTACTCTGACCAAGTCATACAAGCCGGAGCGAATCACTTTTATTTTTTTATCATCCATCGCACTGCTTCCGTCACTCCTTTCAACTCTAGCATTAGAAGCAGGTGAGGTGGGGATTGCTATGATTTTGGTAGGTTATACATGACGTTGGAACAAAGTCATTTTAGCTGCGGATATGTGGAGCATCAAAGTCCCACTCTAATTCGTTTCTTGGCTTGATCCTTTGCCCAACAAACAACATCGTTCAAACTGTTTACATGACCTTGTCAGTTTATATGCTGCTCATAAGCGACGCTCGTTTGGCATCTGTCGCGGATATATTTCAGTTCTTTGTGAGTGTTTTTTTTCTGTTGGAGGCTCAATGCACGCGAAAGGCACTCGCCTCTGTAGACTCTACTCGTCATACGATATGTTATCATTCATTCTTTGATTAAGAGACGCGAGCGCGCTCTGCGTACATTTCACTAACAAGTTCATGAATGAGTTTGATTACTACCGCGTTTGATTGATTTACTATTAAATTTCGTGGATGAACATGTTTGAGCTCGTTGAACCACACTGGCTTGAACACTTTCTTTTACGTATTCCTGATATTAAATAATCAAAACGCGGTAGAATCATCCATGAACTTGTTGATCAAACGTACGCAGAGCGTGCTCGCGTCTCTTAGTCAGAGGATGAATGATATATGTTGTATATGTTGTAGCATATGAAAAAAAACCAGTAGTAGCAGAAGCGGTATTGCTTGCTTCCTCAAATGAAGTATAGTACTTCCTCAAATGAATCCTCTAGTCACAATCCTCAGTTATGGCGTGACACATCCACTGCTCTTTGCAGTATTAGAATAGCTGGTCTCGAAGGTGCTACTCAGACAATCGCTGGGGGCAGGCGGGCACCAGAAAAATAGATTGCTGATTTCTCTCACCCCGCTCGCGAATTTTTTGGAAAGCAATCAGGACTTTTCGGAAGACCGCTCGCTGAGTCAGCGGATTTTTGAGAGACCGCCTGTTGAATTTTTTTCGCTCTTATCTTTTGCAGATATATTGCTGAATCTCTGAGGAATCGAGAACTCAGCAAGAGGTCTTCCGAAAAGTCCTGATTGCTTTCCAAAAAATCGGCGAGCGGGGTGCGAGAGATCAGCAATCTATTTTTTCGGTGCCCGCCTGCCCCTGGCGATTGTCTGAGTATTGGCCTTGGAGGACTATAGCATATGCCGTTTCTGGCACAATCTATTCTGAACTTCGCCTCTTAGCTTTTTTATCTCTGGCACTAATACGGATTATCATGGTATAATGGACTTCTTAAGTAGTTCACGTGATCCTTTTATGACTCGTAAAAAGCTAAAACGCATCGATTAAGAGTTTACAGCATCAGCTCAAAATGTTCCTGTTTTCAATCCTACAAAAAAGCGGAGACACGGGGTCAGATAGGGGAGAGTGAAGGAGGAAAGGGCAGGTAGCCGGTTTTCGGCACTCGCTGATTTCTCATATAATCGTTTTCGTAGGAAAATGTAAAAGCAGAGCGACAGTTATGGCGTGATTACTATGCGCTCAACTGCATCTATTCGATACTTGTAGCCGTCGTGGAGCAAACGTGATGATACCTATGGACAGAAGCGAACTCAAGCTCAACGCAATGTACAACAACTTTGTTTTGCGATTTGCAGTAGATTGTTTGCAGTTAACTCGAAATAAATGTCTTGTCTCTTCATTCTTCTATCTGCAAACGCTAGGGGCGAGAGGGAGGGGGTAAAGAACGGGGTTGAGGGTCGCGCTGAACTCCTACCCGGGCGGTGGGGGTCGTATTCAGAGGTGGTATGCCATGCTCGACGCTGGTCTAGAGCTAATTTGGGTGGGGTTTAGAGACATAATTGGGGTTTGGAGCTTAATTAGGGCTACAGTATGCCGCGGCAGACTTCCGGAGCACAAAATGGGAGGACTCCGGAGCACAAATTGGGAGGTCTCCGGAGCACAAAATGGGAGGGCTCCGGAGCATAGGTGCGATAGGGGGAGCCGGGATCTCCCCAGGTGAAGGGGGTCTCGGCTGTTCCCGACCTTCCAGGGTGAAGGGAGTATGTGAGTCTAGGGGGGGGGAGGAGGAAGAGAGAAAGGTAAAAAAGCGTGGTATGAAAAGCTCTAATTTGTACCTTATTCAGGCACAAATTGAAAAAAAATTTAAAAATTTTCAAAAGAAATTTAAAAATTTTAAGAAAATTTATTATGAAGATCTGTGCTCCTGTTTCACTGCATCAACAAAAAAAAGCAATAAGGTTTATCCCAAAAGATGTACAAGTTAGGAACAACTTCATTTCCTGCGCATTATCATCAACAATATCACTATCGCTAACGTCAGAGACAACAAATTCGGTGCCTGAAAAATCTTCTTCTTCCTCCAAAAGGTCTCGGAGTGGGAGTAGAATTGAGTGCAAAGCGTTCTAAGTCAAAAATGGATTTGAAACTTTCTTCTTCTTCTAAGCACTTTTGTGATTTTTTTCCTGGCCCTCTGGTAGCATCAGGAAGTCAGCAGGTAGGTGACCAGTTTCTTCATACCATCTTTTAGGATGTTTCAAAAAGTTATACGGTAACAGCCTGTCTGGACCACTTATACCAATCCTTTAAATGAAGTTTTTAGATAACAATGCGTTTAGTAGAAGGTTGACAAATCTTCAGTATTTGCTTAGATGCTTTATCGTTGTACGACTTCTGCGTTGTGTTCTGATAACAGAGTAGATAGAAAATTTCTTTCTTCACCTCTGCCGTGCTAGTCGGAATGGAAATTAGCTTTGCTAGTAAGTCCATCAGATTTTTGCGGTAAGTAATGGGAAAAGAGCCAGATTGCATATGCTTTCGCAACACGAGAAGGAAATAGTGCATACTTTTTTGGGCCTTTTCGAACTCTGGCTTCACCTCCTCTGGCATACTTCCTGTTAACTGACGAGAAAGCTGCTCAACTTCTTCTTCAACAGCATCTGCGGAATAGCCGAAAAAAAGTAGATACTATGCTGCGCGTTGGTTTTTTTTCAATATCATAGGTCATAATGTCACAAGGCGAATAACTTCCAAAAGCATAAAGCACAGAGTTGGGTTCGCACCCCAGCCGGGATCTAAGTGCGGTAACTATGCTTTGTACTAACACCTTCCTTTTGTTCATATCCATGTTTGTGAATTTAGCAGCCTTGAATTCTTCAGCAACCTGAAGATCAGCAATGGACTTCCTGGACATTTCCTCATTGAAACTAGACAATCTGCTTGGATTCCTTATGCAGGAAATCAGAGAGTTTCGCTCAATTGTCAACTCTGTGTCAATGTCGACAACATTTTCGTCGGCGTAAGATTCTCCTTCTGCCTCGCTACTGAACTGGAACACATGCGAGTCATCTGCGATTTTGTAAAGTATTCTGCCTGCCGTTTCCTCTTTAAACTGCCAACCTTTCCAAAACATTGAGGGATAATTTAATAACATGTTATTCTTCTGAATGTCTTAAAGTTTTTGATTCATTGAACCCAACCACCTTCTCTACAAATTAGGTAAGGTGAGTCTAGAGCGTTTTCATGAAAGTGACCTTCTTCAGCACTAGGTTTACAGAGTATAGATTCCAGAAATGGGCAGGTTTTTGTGTGAAGGTGTGGAAATTTACCAATCTCCCATAGTTTTTTGAGTGTGCGCTAATAATGATGGCATAACTGTCAATCAAAAGCGCATTTTTTACCAAAAAAAAACATAAACATATAACAACGATAAGGACGCTCGAATAGACGCGTTCGCCCACGTTCCCGTTAGTGCTGATAACGATGTCAATCCACAGCACATTTTTTACTATTAACTTGCTCCACCTCGCTCTTATTAGGTCGTCCAGAAAGTTTTTGCGCATGAATTTCAAAATTCATAACTTCTGATTTTTCCAACCGATTTGACTGCTTTCACTTTTATGTGAAAGGGTAAGTCATGCTCTTTATAATGACTTCTCAGCTGCTTAGTAATGGTCATCTGTTGCATAGATAGGAGCGATAGAAGAAAAATGGTAAAAATTTTAATTTTCTGTGTAGGGTCATAAAAAATCGAAGACTTGCAACAAAAATCGGAGCAGTCAGTACTGTAGGATCTTTCACCAGCTCTTTCTAACAGTGCAAAGTTAGCGCCGATTGAGCGTCTCCATGAAAAGTTATGACTTCCCTGAAAAATGCCAAAATAAATCAAATTCGCCTTTTTGTATTGCTTGCTCGGAAATCATAACTTTTCATGGAGACGCTCAATCGGAGCAAACTTTGCACTGTTAGAAAGAGCTGGTGAAAGAACCTACAATACCGTCTGCTCCGATTTTTGTTGCAAGTTTCTGATTTTTTATGACCCTACACAAAAATTCAAATTTTGAGTGATTTTGGTTTTGAGCTTCTATCTATGTAACAGATGACCATTACTAAGCAGCTGAGATGTCATTATGAAGAGCATGACTTACCCTTTCAAATAAAAATGAAAGCAGTCAAATCGGTACGGAAAAATCAAAAGTTATGAATTTTTGCAAAACCGTGCGCAAAAACTTTCGGGACGATCTATACAATGTGTTGGCTTTTACGGGTCACCGAAGCAAATGCTTTTTGGAGCCGGAAAGCAAAGAAGCCCTGACATGCTGTATACCATTCGAAAGCTGAGATCATGGAGAATCGAAGTAGACCGTCGACTTTTTTCTAGGTCTTCTGTGCCGCGAGATATGAGGGATTTTATGTGCTTCAATAATTAACTGATTTTGTGCCCTCACTTTCTGCTGTCCAAATGAATGCTACGAGAAAGTCGACGGTCTACGTTTGTTAATGAAGGCTTGCTCTTTAACACAGATAGATAATCATCAGTGATTATGTCTTCATTTGGCAGAAATCTGTTGTTGAAAATGACTATGTTTTCAGATAAAATGCGGTGTATCTCTCGGTAGAGGGGGGCTAGAAAGAAATCGATGGTCTAGATCGAATCCCCTTTTCCTGAGCTTTCGAATGGTCTATAGGTTGCTGGGCGAAAAAACAGACCAGTTTTCAGAAATGGGGTGGAGATATTTACTATTAGCTTGCTCCAATCCGGCTCCACCAATGTATTGGCTTTTATCGGTTACCGGAGCAAATGATTTTTAGAGCCGGAAAGCAAAGAGGCCCTGACAAGCTGTATACCATTCGAAAGCTGAGATCATGGAGAATCGACGTAGACCGTCGTCTT